TATGCTATCGATCTTACTATCGGTATCACCATCGGTCTCACTATCGATCGGACTATCGATCTCAAGGGATAGCGCGGGACACCAAGGGAACCTGCGGGACATCACGGGGCACGACCAGACACCACGGCGGGACACCGCGGGGCACCATGGGACACCGCGGTACACCATAACGGGATACCGCGGGACACCTTGGCACGCCATCGACACACCACCAGGACACCACGGGACACCATCGGGACACCATGGCGGGACACTGCGGGACATCATCGACACACCACTGGCCAGCATCGGGACACCAATCGAGACCCGCCGGGACACCATCGGGACACCACGGCGGGAGCCGCCCGCCATGGCCGGGGGAGGGTTGATTCCTCTCGCCCGCCCACGCAGCTTCGCCTCTCTCGCACGCGCGACGCCAACCCGAACCCGAAACCGATTTCCCCGTGGGGGGGCGCTCCTTCCCACTTCTACACATGTATATATGTAATACATACATATACAGACAGACAGGCAGATAGACAGACAGACGGACAGACATACAGACATCTAACTATGTCTACGTACATGTTTCACTATATCTGTACATGATTAGTGTGTGTATGCGGAGGCCGCTGGTGCATACCAGGGGATCGTGCCTCCTGTCCTCCGAAACCTGCCTCGCCTGCCTCCAACCCCCACAACCATCACCGCCACTTCCTCCTCCTCCTCCTCCCCCTCCTCCACCCTTTCGTCCGCCGCCACCAACCTTTGCCTCCTCCATCTCACAAGTCTTCCGCTCCTGTCTAAACGTCTCTGGAGGTCTCCAGAGAAGCCTGAACGGGGCCAAAAATTCCCCGGAACCTCGATCCGCGATCCCCCTCGATCCTCCATCATACTCGAATGTCGATTCTCATCCCCTGCATGGATAATACCGGACTTCCTAAATCGCACATGCTCGTCCTCGGTTCGAAAATATATTCTCTCCATCGTCACCGATCCTCGAGCCTCCTCCTTTACATCGATCCCACCCGGCGTCGGTCCTCCTCGATCCTCGATCCCCTTCGGTCACAGCCGATCCTCGATCCTCCCTCCCGTCACACGTACCCATCGCACATAGACAGACAAACAGACACACGCGCCCACCGGCCCGGAAGCCGCCCCTACGCGGGAGGCGCGGCGGTGCCTCGGCTCCGGCCCTCAGATGTACGTTTGCACGGCGTCGATCCACCTCTTTTTCGGTCTGTGTGACCGTCTCGTCAGCCCAAGAGGTTCCCATATGAATGCACGGTGAGCCCAGCTGTCTACCGCCTCTTGCATCTTTCTGTACCGTTGTGTTGCTGCAGACTTGTGGCTTTCAATCCAGTCACGAACGCCGAGTCGCCTGCATCTTTCCTCGACCTGGCGAGTGGCTCTATGACACCACTCTGCCCATGGTTCCAGAACAAGAGCACGATCAGATGCCGACTCATATGATGACACGGATTCTGGTGACGACGTGGAAGTAGGTGGAACACATGCGGCCACCGGCCGGCGACGACTACCGTAGATCATGCGCAGCATCTTCCGCTGCACCCGGCGCAACTTGTCAGTCGGCCCCTGCGTCAGCACCCACGTTGCACTGCCGCACAAGAGAACGTTGGACACCGTGGCGTCAAAAAACGTCAAGCGAACATTCAGAGAATACGTATTATTTACCAGTGCTGCACGCTGCGCCATAAAACTCTTCCATGCCATGTTGATCCGGTGATCAACTTCAACGTCGAGTGGTCGATCAAAGCATAACTGCCTTCCCAAGTACTTCGTTTTCTGCTCGTACGGCATGATCTCAATGTTCATGTCTCCGACTTGCACGTGCGATGTTCGTGGGCGCCCGGTGCCTTTGGTTGCGTTCGTCAAGATGTTCGTCTTGTCTGGGTGGAGTATCAATCCACGTTTTTGGGCTGCCTTCTGTAGATCATTTAACATGATATTGAGCTGACGTAAGGACGTTCCAATGAGCAAAACGTCATCTGCGAAGCGTAGATTGGTAAGCTGCCGGTACTTGCTGTAACCCATTCTCAATCCCCAAGACTTTTTTCCCAAGCTGGCTTGACCTCAGCAAAGATATCTTCCACGGCGCGTTAAATAGCAAGCTGCTGAGCGGGTCGCCTTGCTTGGTCCACTGACAGCCCCCACCGCTGGCCCAACCCATGCCGAGTCGCGAGCCGTGGCTGACGCTCCTATGCCGCTGCCTCCTCGGCCGCTGCTCTCTCCTCAACCCTCCGCCCACCGTTCTCATTATCCTGCCTCCCCCGTCCTCCCTCCTCCTCCTCCTCCTCCTCCTCCTTGCTCTCCGCTCCCCCCCTGTTCCGACATCAACCATCCCTCCCCTCCGCACGCGCCAGTCCCCGCCCTCCGAGCTGCCGACGAAGGCGCAGGCGCGTGCGCTGACGACGTCGACGCCGACGCCGGGGAATGCCCCAGCGCCGACGCCAACGACTTCGACGACGCCGACGAAGGCGCTGGCGCCGACGCCGACAACAGTCGACGGCGCCAAAAGCGCGAGCGCTGACGCCGACGCGACGCCGTCGGGCTCGTTGCGACCAAGGCGGCCAGCCTGGCAGTCCACGCGGCAGCCGGCCACCGTCAGCCAGCCCTTCTCGTGGCCGCGGGTGCGCCTGGGCCGCAGGTGCGCACGCACACGGGGGAGGAGGGGGGGGACCGAGGTTCGAGGACTGAGGTTCGAGGGTCGAGCATCACCGACAGGGAGCGAGTCCCTCGCCCCACCTCCCCCCTCGGCCTCCTTCACCCTCCACCCTCCGCCACCGACTCATGCTCCTGCATCCTGCCTCGTGCTGCATCTTCGATCCTCCTCCACAATCTGCCTCCTCCTCCTCCTGCTCCTCCTCCTCCTGCTCCTGCTCCTGCTCCTGCTCCTGCTCGTCCTTCTCATCCTCTGGTTCCTAAAAGGTGCGGTCAGCTTGGCCAACAGAAGTCACCTTCTAAAGCCAGGACCCGCCTCGAGGCCAAGACCTTGCCCAACACCTCGGGGCCCGAAGCAACAAGGTTTAAATGCGTCCCCCCCGAACGGACACGGGGTCCGACACAATAACTTCAACCTCGGCTCCCTCGGAAGCCCTGGCACAAGGAAACGAAACGCGAGCGAGCGGAATGGGCAGGCACCAGAAGACGTCGGACTGGGGCTCCCGACCAGCCAGAAGACGCCCCAGGGCAGCCCTACCCAGACGAAGCGAGTCCCTGGGACGACGGGGCCACGGGCGACGGGCCAGGGAGAGCAGGTGGATCCTCTCGCGGGCATACGCCCCGCACAACTTGCAGAAGACAATCGCCTACCCCTCACTCTACACCTCCCCAACTTCATGACTTCTAGAGCAAAGGTCGCAGAGCTCGGAGGGGGGAATGGAGGTGAGAGGAGGTGGTGAAGAAGTGGCGGTGGTGGTGTCGGCGTAGGTGTCTGAGGGGGATGGATGACGAGGTAGTTGAGGTGAACGAGACTCGGCTGAAATCGCCGTGTGGCCTCAGCCTCGACAGAGCGTCTTTTGCTTCTCCGTGTGCGCCTGGAGCGTCAGAGGTAACACTCATTGGCGAGCTCCCTCGCCACACTCGAATCTGTGATTGACGTGGCCAGACACCGAGACGCGCAACGCATCCCAGCACCCTCGATCCGTTGAACCTGGCTGCTTCATGCCTCGACGACGCCGGCCCCGGCGCGAACCTGCCGCTCCAGCTCAGCCGCGTATCGTACACATCCTCGCTCCAGCGTGGGCCGTGCTACGCTCAGCAGCCAGACCTCAGAAGGCGGGGCGGGATGGGGGGCTGGCACGGCCATTTGGGCGCGCGCGGCTCTGTACACGGGAGCGCACGGCTCCACGGCGCGCCCCCCCCCCTGGCCCTGGCAGGGCGCCTCCAGCTCCATGGCGGTCGCAGCCCTGCACATCGGCGAGGCTGCGCACACTGGTGTGATGGGCCGATCTTCCACCACCACTACCATACGTAGGGGAGGGAGGAGGGGGACCAATGCAAACCCAAGAGTCCTCAACGATGTCGGAATTGACCCTCCCTCCAAGCTCCCTCTACACAGGCCCCTATCACGGTCCATTTCCATTGGAGGAAGTGCCTCCTTGGGAGACAACCGTTTGAAGCTCTTGAAGCATGCCAAGACATTGCTCTCGGGATTTCAACGCCGCGGACAAACCAGACTGCTGCGTCTTGACGATCCAGAATTCGCGCCAGAACGCCATTCTTGGGAATTCAACACCGCGACTCAACATAACTGTTGTGCACCCGCGGAATCTGGAACCCTTCCAGAACGCAAGTCCTTGTCTGGTACGCTGATCACGGGAATCCGTGAAACTCCCGCAAGTGTTTGGAACGAATGCGCGCGGCGCTAAGGCGAGGGCCACATTTTGAAAACGGCCCGCCCTCAATCCGTCAAGCTCTTGCAAACTGCTAAAACGAATGTGCGCGGCGCTAAGGCGAAACCCACACTTTCAAAACGACCCGCCCTCAATCCGTGAAGCTCTCGCACATGTTTGAAACGAATGCGCGCGGCGCTAAGGCGCGAGCCACATGTTGAAAAGGAACCGCCCCAAATCCGGGAAGCTCTTGTAGTAAAGTGTAAAACGAATGCGCGCGGCGCTAAGGCGGGAGCCCCAGTTTGAAAACGGCCCGCCCTGAATGCGTGAAACTCTTGTAAATGCATAAAACAACGAATGTGCGCGGCGCTACGGCGAGAGTCACATTTTGAAAACGACCCGCCCTCCATCTGCGAAGCTGATGTCACCTGTTAGGGTTCGGAGTCATCAGTGGTGAAGAGTTCTCAAGCGAAATGAGAGGCCCGCCCTAAAAACTGGCCTCGGGGTGCGACGGGGAGAAGTCACTTACAACGAAAAGGAATGCACGAGGAGGAGGAGGAGGAGGAAGACCTCTGCATCCTTCTTTCTCCCGCGTCCTGCCTATTGTAATGATGGTGGAAGTTTGTCCCATCATGGTGTGGTCTGTCTGCGCCAGGGGAGCCCCTTTCAGGAGCCGCCCCACCACCAGCCCTTGCCCTTGCCCTTGCCCTCGCCCTTGCCCTTGCCCTTGCCCTTGCCCTTGCCCTGCCAGCCAGCGGCGCCAGGGAGGTCTCCAGGCGAGGCGTAGTCAGGGGCAGCACCCCAGGCCTTGGCGCCGAGCCTGCCGCCCCAGCCCTTCTGCCCATGGCAGTACGGCTCGAAGCCGTGCCCCCTGGGCTCGGCCGCTGCCTCAAATTGGCCAGCGCCTCCGCCGTAAGCACCGCCAGGGCCGGACTTCCCTTTACCCTTGCCCTTGCCCTGGCCCTTGCCCTTCGCCGACAGCTCGCGGTAGGGCGCCGTGTCTGGCGGCCCCCCGAGCTGGCCGCGGGCATACGCGAGCTCGTCCGGCATCCGCCCCTCGCTCCACGTGCGCAGCGCCTCCTCCAGGCCGCTGCAGCCCCTGGCCGCGAGGGCCTCCGCCAGGGACGCGGCCATCTCCAGCGCATGGTTGGCGCCCCCTCGGCCCCCGCGCGCCTCGACGTAGGAGGTGGCCGCGTCGCCGATGAGCGCAAGGCAGCCTCCGGCGACCAGGCGCGAGGCGTTCGCGCCGCCGCCCTCGGAGGAGACGCGGCGCGAGTCGAAGGCGGCCTCCTCCTCTGCGGAGACGTGAGAAAGCAGCGTGTGGAGCCCCATCCGCCTGAGCTGCCCCGCCCCGCTGCCCTTGCCGGCGCCCTTCATCCCCACGCGGCCCACGGCCGTCCCGTTGGGGAGCACCACCACGCCGACCCCGTCGAGGTCGTGCCTGCGCCCGGGCGCCAGGTCCTTAGGGTCGTCCACGGTGATGGGCTTGTACCAGGTGAAGTCCTCCAGAAGAAAAGAAACAACGGCATAAACACAACTTTGTTTGGCGCTGCGCGCGGACTTCTTGGATCTGCGCTGGACCCCCCTCCCTGGCGCACGGAGTGCGCGAGGGGCAGCGCTGGAGGCGCCGCCAGGGGGGTCCCAGCGCGGATCCAAGACATCCGCGCGGAGCGCCGAAAGCTTCTGTTTGTGGTGTCTCCTCTTCTTCTTCTTCTTCGATCCTCGTGGTGGGAGACCTGCAGGTCAGGATCCTGCACCGCGGCGGACTCTCGCACGGGCGAGTTCTTCCCGTCGCAGGCACAGACGAGGTCCCAGGGCGCGCCGAGCGCGGCGGCCTCCGCGCCCGGGGCGGCGGCGCCTGGCGCGAGCTCCAGCGCGCGGCGGCCGAGGTCCACCCCGACGACGCCGCAGCAGTGGTGGATGTGCACCGCGCCCGGCCAGGCCGCCTGGCTCTCCCCGATGTGCTCCAGCAGGCCCTGCACCAGCGCGTCGCGCGAGCCGATCAGCGCGTCGAAGCTGAAGTCCTCGCGCTGCGCCATGTGCCTGCGCACGGCGCTGCGAGGCCCGGCGGCGCCCAGCCTCTCCAGGGCGCGCATGCCCCGGGCCTCCACCATGACCGGGTAGGAGCGCTCGCGGCTGACGAGGCCGCGCGCCGCCGGCGTGTCGAGGCGCTCGAAGACGTGCACCTCGTGCCCCTGGCGCGCCAGCCCGATGGCGCAGCCCAGGCCGGCCGGCCCACCGCCCGCCACGGCCACGCGGAGCCCGGGGGCGCCCGGCCAGCTCCTGGCCGCGGGAGCCGGGGCGCCCGACTTCGGCGCGAGCGGCATGGCGCTGGGAAGCCGAGGGAGGGGGCTCGTCGGAGAGCTGGTTGGGGCTCGAAGTGTGCGCCGAGAGTCGGCTGGCCGGCGCAGAGGTTCAGGCAGCAACGGCCTTGGGCGTGTCGCCGCAACGGGCGTGCTCCACGCTTGAGCCGCGGACGAGCAGCGGATGAAACGGTCGACCCAGTCGAGTCGGCCAGAGCTCGCCGGCCCATCGTGCCAGAAGTGCGCGTGAGGGGGCCGAACGGTCTCACACTGCCCCTGGATGCGCGGCTACAGTGGGGTTCCGCGGTACCGTTTCTCGTTTCGTCGCCCACGCGACCCATACCCGACCCACCAACCGACTGCAGCGGGCTGGTGGTGTGGAGAAGGATAGGAGGAGCTTCTGCGCATTGTCGTTGGAACCTCGCGACCCGCCGATGCCCTCCCGGTGACCTCTTAGGGGCCTCCTGGGCCTTCTTGGGGCGGTCTTGGGGGCCTCTGGGGCCATCTTGGAGCATCGGGATCCCGGACACGCGAGAACGCGAAAACCCACGAAAAACATGTAAATCAATGATTCGTGCCTCTTTGGGTCCTCTTTGGTGTCCTCTTGGAGCGCTCTTGGGGCTTCTCTGGGGCCTCGTGGGCCGTCTTGGGGCTTGGGCGTCTAGGAGCGCTCTTGGGCTGTCTTGGAGGCCTCTGGGACCCACCCACATTGCTGTGCAAAAGAACAGCGCCTGCGGCGGGCTGATTGCTTCGGGAAAACATGCGCCTGCGGCGGGCTTCTCTACACTGGCCGCTCGAGTCCCACCGCCCCAGCCTAGGAGAGCCTTCACTCTTAACCGCAATTGTGGCCCACACGTCAGGTAGTACAGAGACCGTGATTTATACACTGCTCATCTTGGTCGCGCAGACTGCTCGCACAAAGCACTGCGTGGAGAAGATGGGCGCCTACGCGCGACCTTACCCGGGCAACCTTCTGACCTGCCAGTGTCCGTGCGGTCCGACCCGTTTGCTTTTTCGTCGCCCAGATGGCGGAAGAAGCACCCCCCGAAGCAAGCCAAACCCACTGAAATACATATGGCGTAGTCGTGCTTAGGATGTCTCGCCGTTGCGGGCTCCAGTGGGCTTTTCAGGCCCAAGCCCCACTAAGGCCTAGAAGACCTCAGAGGCCCCTGACGTTCCAAAACTGGGAGGGCATGGGGGAAAGGACCAAGGGGTGAGATAGGGAGAGGAGGGAGGATGAGGTAGGGCAAGGACGACAAAGAGAGGGTCCAGGAAGCTGGGCAGGGAAGACGAACAGCACCAGCAGCGACGGCGCAGTCGGCAGGCCCCGGCAGCCCCCAGCGGGCGCCTGGCAACGAACTTCATGCCCGTCATCTCCCCGAGGAACATCTTCGGGAAGCAGGAAAAGAGCGAGGCGAAGAGAGGGGCCAGGAAGAGGCGGGGTTGGCCCACCATGGCCCGGGGCATGCGCGGGGACGAGGGCGGACGCCAGGGAACGCACGGAAAGAAGACGAGGGAAGCATGACATCTGAAAGATGTCATGCCTCCGGCCATGAGATCCACACACATTCACACAAACACACACGCACACACACACATTCACACACACACACACACACGCACACACACACACACGCACACACACGCGCACGCGCACGCACACACATACACTCACGCACGCACGCACGCACGCACGCACGCACGCACGCACGCACGCGCGCGCGCACGCACGCACGCACGCACGCACGCACGCACGCACGCACGCACGCACGCACGCACGCACGCACGCACACACACACACACACACACACACACACACACTTTCTGGCGTACCAGACCCGCGCGCTGCGCGCTGCGACGGGGCGTAGAGAGTCGAGTCCAAGCGGCGGAACGCGCGCGTCCACGCGCAGCCGAGATCTGCACACAACACGCACCCACACGCTCACACCTAGTCCAAACCCCCCCGTGGACGCCCCCGAAGAGAACCGTTCACCAACGACATCCTGACCCTGGGCTGGCGCACGAGACGAGAAGCTCACGTGGGTACCATTCCAGGGCTCAAGGCGGGCCTGGCCAAGCTCAACGGTCCACTAACTCACTGGCGCGACGGAAGAGGGTTCCAAAAGAGCGCGGGTCCTCGGCTGGTTTTCACCCGCAGAAATTATTTTTCTGACGTACCCGAAGCTCTAACAACCGACAACATATATGCGGCGCGGAGATCCCAATATGTGCATCTTAATTTCTAGAACTTTACTCCGTGAGTGTCTGAGCGTGACCGAGCGTGAACCTGAGACCCACCGAGTGCGGGCGTGACCGAGATTGCAGGTTGCTCTCTGCCGTCATCTGCTGACCCACGCCGCTCACTGCCGCGAGCACGATACCATCCGGCGGCCAACCGAACATTCAAGGGTACCCTCCCCAGGATGCACAAGAAGAACGCCCAACAACCAGGAAGAACACTAGGGTACCCTCCCCGAACCGGCCTCGATCTTATACTTCAGTCCGACTACACCCTCTTGCTGCGCCGCCTCCTCCTCCTCTGCCTCCTCTGCCTCCGCCACGTCGACGCCCCCTGGGGAGGCCCATGCCGCGCCTTCCACGCCGAGGTGACCCTGCGGCCTCGACAACGAGATTCGTATACCCCCAGAGAGTCGGCCAATCTGCCCTGAGACATCCTCGCCATTAGGGCGCGAACGGCGCTCTGGAATACCCCTTGTCGACACACTCCTGGGATGCACAAGTGCCGTGCATGCTACATTGCGACGGGCATGCAACCCTGAAAAGAAACGCATCTGCCGCACCCCAAAAACACACATACACACACCAACACACACACACACACGCGCGCACACACGCGCACACACACAACACACACACAACACACACAACACGCAACACACAAGCACAAAGCACACAATAGACAACACACAGCACACAGCACACAACAACACACAACACAGCACACACAAAAGCACACAACACTCTACACATACAGAACACACAACACACAGGCAACACACACACACACACAACACACACACAAGCAAAAACAAACAACTGTTCTGAGTGGGAGATTTCGACAATATGGGCGCGACCTATGCGCCCCCGTGGGATGCCAACATGCCATGCCTGCGACATCGCGATGATCATGCGACCCTGAAACACGAAACACATGTCCTTCCACACACGGCAAATATCCTGAGAGGTCCCGACAATCTGGACAAGATGGGGCCCGTGGACCATTCGTGGCCGACACCCACTTGGGGTGGGGCCCCAGTGCCACGCATTCTGCTTCGCGATAGTCATGCGGCCTGAAGAGAGACACTCATATCCACCCAAAAAATCTGCCTCGGAGGTCCTGGCTGAGCGCGAGCAGGCCCGTGGAACGCCATGCCTGCTGCATCACGATGTTCATGCGGCCCTGAACAAGAGACGCCTAAACCCCCAAAGCGGCAATTCTGCCTGAGAACTCCCAACACTATGGGCGCGAACGGGCCAGTGGAGCACCCCGGGTCGAGCCTGCCTTGAGACAACAAGGTACAAGGGCATGCGGGCCCTCGCCAAGGTATGCGGGACCGTGACAGAGCACATCCCTCAAACTGTGCTTTGTACTATGCGGGGTGGCGACTGCGAACATGGCATCAAGGGCATCATAGGCGCTCACGGCGGCAGCAAAACCGACCCGACCGAACCTGCAAAGGACGCAGCGGAGCATCAACTGACCGAACGGAACCGACCGAAAGCAGACGATTGCGCAGCAACCGAACCGACCGAACAACGGACACACGACACACCTGGCGATACCTGTGCGGGGTGAAGGCTGCGAAGACAATACAGTGTCGAGATCGATTGAGATAATACCCGAGAGGATACGAGTCTCTTCCGAGGGCAACCCATCATCCAGACATGAAGGGCGCATGGAACGCGATAGACAAACACAACAATACCCTTGCCCACTAATCAGACTCGGCTGTATTGTGGTAGCGAACGAAGAATGGTATGACCTAACATTTCCGCCGTCGGAGACGCCTGCCCCACCCTGTCGGCGTGCGCGAAGGGTTTGTCTGTTCGAGTCGTCGTCTCCGTCAGCTGCGTCGTCCCCTTGTCCCTGCACCCTCTTCAAGCCTGTCAGCAACAGAAAAATCTCGCAATGTCGTAATTCCTCGAATCGAATGGAAGTCCCTTCCCTTTGATCCCTCCCCCGTCGGGGGAGGGGTCCTGGGGAGGGGGAGTCCAGCGGGGGGGTCAGATCCGCATCCCCCCCTGGGGGTCCCGGGGCTGCAGAAAATACCACAACAAGCCAAGAGTGCCCAAAGAGGCCCTCGAGACGGTCCAAGAGGGCCCCAAATCGCCAAACGAGCGCTCCAAAACGCCGTCACGCTCCCAGACTGCACAGGAGACCTCCAAGACGCCCCAAGAGGCCTCCAAAGGCACTCCCGAGAGGGCCCCAAGAGCCACCCATCATTGATTCTCCTGATGTTTGACATGTTTGGGCGTTCTCGCATTTTCCGCTTCCCACCGCTCCACGACGGCCGAGGAGGCCCTCAAGATCACCCCGAGAAGCTTCGACGGCCCGAGAGGCCCCCGAGACGGCTCCAATGGCGTGTCTTGACGGGGAACTCGAACGGACATTGCGAGCCCTCGGCCGCGAGAAGCTCCCAGGAGGCCCCAAGAGGTTCCCAAGAGGCCTTAAGAAGCCCACAAGAGGCCCTCAGGACACCCGAAAAGACCCCCAATAGGCCCCCAAGAGGCCCCAAAATTCCCCCCCAGAGGTCCCCGAGAGCCTTCCCAATAGACCCCAAAAGGCATCCCTGAGGACTCGGGCCACGTCAGCGTCGTCGTCGTCGCCGCCACCGCCGTCGCCGCCGTCGTCGACGTCCCCCTTCAGGGTCGGCGGCACCGGCCGCAAGGCCTTCGCAATAAACATGCCCGCCGTCGGGGACACCTGCCCCATGGCGGCTAGAAAGTTTACCCCTACGGCGGCACCTCAAAGATATAAACTTTCCAGCCGCCCTGCGACAAGC